TTTTTTGTCTGTTTTGATGGAACTATCATTGAATCTTGTCAGAATCCATAAATTAAGCAGTACATTCATGTGATCATATGTTGGATAAAAATCTTCGATCGCCGCGCTGAATGCGTTAACAATTTTCACTGTCTCAGTTCTGCAAGAATGAATGATGAACTACAGAAGTTTCACTTGAATATATTTGTTGCTTTTAGAATAGGCCTCTCACAAGTAGGAGTTTTATAAGAGATCCTCACCTTCATGGTTGCTGGTTTTGAAACGACCTCTACTGCGCGAGCCTGGATCATTCATATGATGAGTAAATATCCCGATGTACAATAGAAGATCAAAGAAGAACTGATAAGTGCTGGTAATAACCAGGATTTAACATTGAATCAGCTTGATCCATTAGTTTATCTGGACTGTGCTATCAACGAAACGCTTCGATTTTGTTCAGTTATTTATGCAACTTTCCGTACGATAACTGCTAACGATCGTGTTCCTCAAAGTCACCAATATACCGAAACATGTCGGTGTTACAATTGATTTTCCTTAATCAAAATAGTTTCACTAGTTTTCAGTTGATTTTGGAACATTCTAACATAATTTCTGCTTAGACAATCCTACATTAAATCATTACTAATAAATTATTGATTTTTTCAAAAAATAAACCAAAAACCAGAAGGTGTGGGTGAGTGTGAACAAAGCTGAGACTATCATTCATACACGCAAAGATCCCAATCACTATATTCACACCCACATCCTTCTTTCTGTGGTGTCTCTCTGCTTGTTCTTTTGTTTGAAATATTACGATATATTTTGATATATTTATTTTTTGAATAAAAGAAGATAATATGATTTTACATAAAACAGAAAACACTAATTATCATGATCTTGGAGAATTTTTTAATTAATTCAACACTAAAGCTGGTTTTGATCAGGTTAAAATGGAATGTACTAACATATACTAATAGTTTCTCTGATTGCTTACTTCTTCACAAAATCTGCCGCCGTCCTCGCTTTTGCACAGCCACCAATCCTAACAAAATTTCATATCCAGCAACTACGGCGTCAACTACTGCTACCTTCGACCCTATGTTCATAACAATCTGTTCCACGATGCTCTCCAAGCCACTCATTCCTGCACAGCCCAAGATCATAACATCACAACCATTCTTCTCAACAAGTTCTCTGATAGCTTCACTCATAGCGGCATTCACAATATCTTGTCCAACGCATTCCAAACTAGCAGGAGATATATTTGTTGCTTTAATTCCTCCACATCGATGATCAAGTGCCAAATGATGAATGCTTTTAGCAAGCAATGGTTCCCATTCTTTATTCGTTGTCAAAATTCCAAATCGATGTCCTAAGAAAGTTGCATGCACAAGACTAGCTTCCATTATACCCACTACCGGTTTATCGGTATGTTCTCGCAACATTTCAACGAGAGGATGTTCAGAAAAACATGCAACAAGGAAACCATCATATTGTTCAAGAAGAGGAATGAGATTGTGAATACATGCAGCAGCGGATATAACTTCAGTTGTAAACGATGTAATTTCAGAGGGTGCAACTGAGGAAGCAGTGAATTGATCCACTTGATTGGAAGAAAAATTTTCTAAGCCGATGAGAGCTTTCATTGCAGTGGATGTCATGGAGGATGAACTATTTGGATTTATCAATAAAATTTTTGTTTGTGTATTTGAAGGTGAAGTTGGCGAAGCAAGCATTTTACTCTACGTTTGTATTGTAATGTTTTTAATTCTATTTGTGTGTGTATGTTTTCTTTCACAAAGAGAATTATATTGACAAGCTTCCTTCTTTTTCATCTTTCTTCTGATAAAGGTTACTTTTACTGCCTTTCTACTTCATAAGTGTAGGATTTATTTGCATCAAATGAAAAGATAAAAAATGTGAATAGAAAAGTTAATATAGATAAACTTATACAACATTCTCGAACTTCAAGGGGAAAGTAGTAAAATGTCGACAGAGTATGGATGCGAAGTGCGTGTCTGTGTAGGTTCTGTTGTGAAGAGAAGACAAGCACCAACACGTAGACCTACCCATCTACACCCACACTCAAATACCATATAACACTCAAGTAGAAATGCAAAAGCAACTCTTGTCAATTAATCTTTCTACATATGCATGCAATTGCCTTTCAGATGTAAATAACACCGACGAGCAAACAAAACAACAAAAAAAAGTGTTACTTTGCCGATGGTTGTGCCATGCTCTTTTTTTCTTGTTAAATTCAATGTTAAATCATAGCTGCCTTCACAAGTTTTGTATTTAATTATATTGCGAAATGCATCTTTCTTCAGTTTCCTTTGGCTAAAATGCATTATTGTAACACATACAAATGCCCTTATTTGTACGTACTTTCTGCCATATATTAACTATTAGTAAAACAATAGATACAAATAAATGATAACAAGCGAACGTTTTCTGATGAGTCCGCGCATATGAAACAAGATTTGTAATTAAACGTTTCTCAAAAATAAAGCTCATATAATTATATTCACTTTTGAGATTGCATCTCGAATAAACTGAAATACTGCGACGGTAGATGCATAATTGAACGTTTCTATTGTTTTCTCTGTTCAAAACCTTTTTTTTCAAAAAATTGGCAAATCGTTAATAGGATAGCAAGTTTTACGGAAGATTTGTTCGCCTATGATCAAACTGTCCCTAAAAACATGCTGCATAATAAGATGCATTTTTTCACTTTCTTCCAATTGAAGTAATTCAGAATTATAACGCTTTTTGGATTGTAGTTGTTGCCATGATCTTTCATTCGAGGAGTTACCATTGATTTATCCCGATTCAATGCAAGTAAAATCTTAGGCTGCATGTTTCTATGTTGTTCTTAATGCTACGCTCCGTGATCTTGATTGAGAGAAGCTCAAATCATGTCTTCTCTATTTATGACTTTCTCTCACTGCTCTCATTCATCGTCTACCTATTTATTTGAGTATTTATCGAGAAGTTAAACTTAATTTAATCAACGATTATATCAAAGCAAAAAAAAGTATGCTTGGTGCAGTTTTTCATCATCTAGACCATCGATAAAAGTTCTTCAATCGCTAAAACAGGATCGATAACGATGTTTGCAATAGATATTTACTATGAAAGGGATACTTGACAGAAAAATTATTCGTTAAGAAATAAAATGAACTTCTTCTTCTTATTGGTACATATTTCCATGGAGTAGAGTATTTTGATAATGAAAATGATCTTCATTTGATTTAGTTGACAGAAATCAATCTACCATATTTTCTTATTCAATTTATACTCAATCTAGTTACAATCATTGCATCATTCTAATCAATAAGCAAGCCAATAAAAATCCAGTGAAAAAAGTAACAACATCAGTGATTAATATCTATAAAAATTCTAAAATCGAAGCACACATTGCCTTGTTTCAACCACAGACGCTTATTAGTTTAAAAATATAGGAACTGACTGTTCGAAATGTAAACGTGGTAGTCAGCCAAGCTATTTTAAACAAGCGATACTAAAAGTTCTGGTTAGATGACAACCAGGTTGGTTCAGAAGATGCTTCACACTTATCTCATAACGTCTCAGGTAACATAATATTGAGGAGATTGTCACTTTTCTTTGATAGCAGTTCTAATAAAGCTGTTCGTTTTTTGACACGAACACTGGCATACAAGGTCAGAGTGTACAATGTTTTGCTGAAATACTTTCGGCAAGTACAACATTTGTTGCTTATCTCGATTTATATAATAATGAAGTTGAAGATGAAGATGAAGCAATGAAAATGTTTACCAACAAGTTAGCTTATTACAATAAAGCTCTCAAAGCGTTATATATATTATCATGAATAAATTTAATGATTCAAGTGTGAATTCTATCATCGCCATGTTTGCTCGAAACCAATCATTTAAAAAATTTCCACTTTTGCGACTGCAGTGTGTATTTTCATGTGAGATCGAGGCTTTGAGTAACAGTAGCCAGAAAATGTGGAATTTCATTTCATATATAAACAGTGCAATAAATGATTTGTTTACTTGTATTAAGTAGTTAGCGAATAGAAGAATATTAAAATTAGAAAATTGTATCATAATACCGCATAAGTTAGTAAGAACTCGAGTAGTAAAGAGACTAGAATCGTATGAAAGAAAATAGTTATAAACCAAAAAAAAGCAGATTAAATCAAACTTTAGTCTTTTTTTCTCGAAGATTCCCTTTGATAGTACTTTTAGTTAAATAGTTCGGTACGAAACAGTATTCTTTGGTATTTTGAACATATTCGAAATGCAATACAACTATGTAATCAAAGAACTTTGGTTAACTAGAATAGAATCGAACAAATTTTCCTTCTGATCCAATGTGTCTGATAAAGCGTTTCTCAGGAACATAAAAAACTTGCAAAAAATTGCATTGATTACAATTAACATTTTCATATCATTTGCCTTAGTATGGTATAAAATGTATAAAAATCATGAGATTATTTTTCATTTTATTTATTCTGTTTTCTGAAGGATTTTGTCGCACGCGTGTGAGACATGCAAAATCCCCTAGGAAAGGTATTGCAGATTGCAAACTTATATAGAGATTAGTGTATCGTCTTCAGATTTCAGTTTTAGTCTAAATTATCAATTTGGAGATGGCCCAAAGATCATTTTTTAGAAAGTATGCATGAAGAATATTTTGGCACTTTTGAACCTCAATATTTTTGGAGAAATTTTCATATGAAAAAAGAAAGCTGCATAGAACATTCAGTTTTATTATTTTACGAGAGATTTTATGCTTTTTCGTTATATCTCTCTGTCCACTTTATTTTCGTCGTTCTCTTATTCTATTCTCGTTCACATTTTTTATGATTTAAGAAAACTTGCGCTATTTAATTTTATTACTATCACTTCTGTTTTCATGCAATGTTAATCAATATTATCATTGAAATATAACTCTCGAAATATACCATTATCATAAAATGACCTCTCATCATTTCCATACATAGTACGCTGAAATATTTTACGATTCTTTTCCCATCTAGAAGTACATGAGGGTGTGGGCGAAGAGAAGACCTACACCCGCCTACACCTTGCGAGACATCATTAGAACAACATTTGTTGATCATTATATTTTATTTCATTTGATTAAATAAGTAAAGAATAATGAGACAAGAGATTTGGTTTAATATCAAAAATTCTCCGATTAGTTGTTAGTATACATTGATGTTTCAAAAAGTTAGAGTTGATTTCACTATTTAATAATAACCTCCATAACCATACGAATGACCATAGTGCGGATAACCTCTGTGTCCACCAACTCCGGGAAAACCTCCAACGATTTGACCATATGTTGGATTTGGATTTCCACCTATTGCATTGTCAAGAAATTCACCTATAAAACCTAAATTAAAATCATTAATTAAGGAACAGTCAGTTTTTACATATTTGAGATTTTCAAAATTATAAACGAAGTAATAAAAACTGTTCATACGTGTACAGACTACCACAATTGTCTAACAAAGTCTCAATGGATTTCGGCGTCTCAGCGACAAAAAATGATTCGAACAGAAAAAAAACCATATACGAAAAAACTATAAGAAAATATATTCATTAATTGATTCTCCAATGTAGAGTTCCTAGAAAGATAAACTGCTATTATTTTGACACGTAAAACGTACATGTTCTCATTTAATTCAGACTGTATGAAAGCATAAATCAAACAATTGTCTATAAAGACAAAAAACTGGAAATAATAGGAAAATGTCTTGATGAACTTCTGTAAGATTGATGAATGTCAACGAAAAAATGAGTCATAGACATCTCATTTTTTTACAAAGTTATTTGCTCGATCATTTCATATAGTTTGCACAAAATTCTATTTGTACGTTCTAGGTTTTAAGAAAAGACTACTGCCTTAGCTTTCTCAAAATCGTGTCTTATAAAATTTGATAATCATGTTATATTCACATATTCTTCTTGCGTAGATTTTTCTCTATTCAATTTTTTGTGACTGTGACTGTCAAAAACAATTCAAACCTTGTTAAATAGTTTTACTTGTCAATATACATACTTATCTATATAGAATGTAAGTGAAAAATAAGTCTTATTCTAATAATATTAGTGATAGCATTTAAATATCCTTACCATTTAATCCGCCCGGAACATGTCTTTCAATCCACGAATCAGATTTTAATTCTCTAGCCATATGAGTGTTGTAACCATACATATTTAATGTATTAATAGATGAATTAACTATAGACGAATATCTCTCTTTTGATCAATGAATAAAAACTAATTTCATGACATCTATTTATATGCAATTTTTTTGTTCTCGTCATTATATGAAAACTTTATGTATGAAATAGAAAATGATGAGTAAACGTGAGATAAAATTTCTCAATCATAACAACACAATAAATACTTAGTCACAATGGTGACGCATCAAAAAAAAGATACGTCTCATCATTGTTTTTTTCTTTTCATTTCTGTTGATTAGAACGCATGTGCATATGCCTACGCTAAATGATTTTGTTTCTTGTTTCTATTTGATTCCTATATGAAATAATATTCAATCGTTTTCATTTCGTTCGCTTCATTAAGCAAATAGGTCCTATATGTGAATAATATACGCATCATGTTGTTATGTCGCTCTGCTACATTTGTCCAGTCAAAATTATGAATGTTTTAATATTATTCATATTTAACAAAATTAGTTATTCTTATTTATTCATCAAAATAAAGTGAAAACAGCTGTGTTATACGTTTGGATAATTATTAATTCAAAAAAATTAATCACAAGCAGCAAACCTGTTTAAATAAAATTAATAGCTTTATGTTTAAATTTAAATAGGGTGTGCGTGTGTGTGTCTGAGTATGTATTGAGAAAAAAGTTTCACCCACATTCACACCAAGAAATCGTGTCCCTTTAAATTTTCGTTCTAATTTATCCACTAATCTAACCAATCCTACAAGGTGAGGTGGTCACGGTGAACAAAAATTTTTCATATTTACGTACTCACTACATCTATCACATAATGCAGCTAGAAGTTGCGAAAAAATATCAAAAAAATATTTGTAATCTACATTACAAACGAAAGCATTCCAGTATGGGTAAACTACTTTTAAAGAGAATGTAAACATTCGCCAATTCGTTTTATGAAACATTCCATTTTGTCCGACTGTAAATGGCGAAAAAAAAAGTAATAGGATAATGGTTGGATGTTCTTTCTCCTAACCTTTCAACCTGCCAATTATCCTTATTTCTAGTAAAAGCCTTTGAATTGATCTATCCTCTATTCATGAATTAATACTGCCAAGAAGAAAACATTCAACATGAAAACACCGAGGTGATTCTTCCGATTCTACAGTGATAATCTAAACAAAAAATTAGTTAATGAATGAGAATTGGAAAAAGACTGACAATTTTCTTCAGCTGCTTGAGAATGAAACAGAAATAAAATAAAATCAATATTTATTCGTCGTACGAAGAAACAAACGCTATTGAGAGGACCAATTCGATGGAACGATAAACCACTTGCCGATGAAGCCATCGATTTGAACAGAGTCAATCTAAAGAGAAAACAATTAGTTCGTGAATGAGTGTTGAAAAAAACAAACGATCTTCTCTAGCTGCCTCAGAATGGAAGAGCAGTGAAATGAAAATTCATCGTATGATGAACGAGACACTGGTGAGAGGAGAAATCTGATAGAATGATAAACCACTTGAAGATGAGATGATCAATGGAGACAGGGCCAATATAAAGAAAAACAAAACAAACGATTCTCTTAAGCTACTTCAGAACGTAGAAGACCTAAAATAAAAAATATACTTATTCGTCATACAGTAAACGAAGCCTTGTTATGACTAGGAGTTCGATTAAATGATGAGCCATACAGGAATAATATTTCCCATCGTACAGTATCAAACTAAAAAGGAAATGGAAAATTTGGAATGAGCATGAGTTACAAATTGAGAGGGTGTGAGTGTGGGTGTGGGCGTGGGTATGGGTGTGGATGTGGGTAGTATCACTTGTTAATCCACATCTATACCCACGCCCACACCCTAGATCTATTCATTATAGTAGATGAAAATTTTCTTTCTTGATGAATGTGATGATCATGCCGGTTATGGGACTGATAGGACCGAGAAAACTTACGGTGATGGCCATTAAGCGCACACTGCTGATTACCCTGACCTTCCATGAGTCGGTAGAATTCAATAAACCGGCGATCATCGTAGGTCCCTGACATCCTATAGGTATCGTTGACCTTAAACATGTTTGTTGATACTGCATACCTAAGTTTTTTGTATAAGCATCTTTCATATTCAGATAGCCTCACACTAACAAATTTCAGTTATATGAACATTCTGATCTTGTCTGTCGTATGCCTACAGTCAGTAGCGTATTCATGAAGCGATCAGTATATGGAAACATCTTATCAAATTTGTGAAATATGATCATAAATCACAGGAAGTAGATGGATACCAATTAAATATGCACTTCTCGATTATAAGATGATTAGCTTCACTTTTGATAAGAATCAGTTCAACCTGAGTAGCTTTATTTGTAGTACATTATGACCGGTGCTTATGGTGCTCGTGTGCCGGTGGAACGATGAACCGTTGACCGATCACACCGGTGACCACCGTCACCGTTGCATCCCTAATTTATACCGTACAATTAAATAAATTAGTTCTTCACATGATCATAGAAGATTGAAAGTAATTATCGTACAGATAGGTTTTTTTTGCAAAATTCAGTTGATTGATCATCTCCGAATTAGCCGACAAATCAGTCAATAATATAGACCTTTTTAAAAAAATTTCATCATGTAGGGAGAAATCATGTAACTTAATCGATCATTAGGTTGAGAGACAAATTAAAATTCGAAATGTAGAAATACTTTAAAATATTTTTCTTTCTTTTTTTCACTTATTTCATTATGCAAAGCTTATATCTATGCAAGATTGGCTTTTTTATAAATTGTTAGAGTTTTAATAAAGTTTATTTTTTAGAACGATGAGGAATAAAAAACAAAAAAAACGAAATATTTTTATCGGTTCGCCGCCTTCCAAGCGGCACCGAACGTAACTCAAAAATTTTTTGCACCTCGTTCAGAAAGTTTTATCTATTTATGGAAACTTTCATGCTTGTGTTGCTTCTTCTTGTCATTTGATGGTGGACATTTTTTCTTTTGAACAAAACGAGAAGATACATTACGTTTAGTTCGATTATTATAACGAATACCAGTTCGAATATCACATTGATTTGATTTATTCATTCCTGTATTATAAGAAGATATAAAAAGTTCGACAATTATATTCAGAAAATAAACTTACGAGTAGAAATAGTTTCATAATCATCCATAACATCAGTTGATACTAGTGGGTGAATAATATTCATTGGATTTGGTTTCGGAAGTTGCGATACGTATGTATTCAAATGTAATGTCATCAAACGATGACTCTGCAGTGTTCAATGGACACCGTCCAGAGCCCGTGAGTTTAAATGATTTTTCAAGTATTCTGAAAAATCCACAAGAATAAAACCATATTCTTTTGTTTTTGATATAATAAATGGATTTGTTGCTAAGGGTGTGGGTGCGGGTGTGGGTGTGGGAGTGGGTGTGAGTGTGGGTGTGGGCGTAGATGCCACTATCTAGTGAAGAAGCAACCCACTTCACACCCACACTCACACCCACGCCCACACCCCACACCCACACCCTCCATTATCAGCACAGATGACAAATAAAAAACAACAAAAACATTTATGTATAACTATTATTTTTTTTCTTTGCCATTGCAATGTAAGGGAGAGAAACGTTTGCTTGTGTATTGCAATATTAAAGAAAAGAAGAAGAACGAAAAGAAAAAAAAACAATACTTATGCATAAAAAGTTTTGTATTTCTTACGTGTATCGTTCTGTTGATAATAAATTGAAGATCGATCAGAAATATTCACAAGTTTTTTTAAATAAATCCAAAGAAGATGATCAATATACTCGTATTCTTCGTTATATTTCAACTGAGATTCGTATTCCAGCATCGCTTTTAGCTGTCATGTTAGTTTCAGGCTCGTACCCATCGCTATTTCACTACCCCTAGCAAAAACACTAGGTATTTCCATACTACATCTTTGACATATTCTATATAGGTCTTGCACGGATTCATTGTTTTTTTCCTTAGGAAACGACTTAATCCTGAAGAAAGTGTTTAGGCATATAATGTCCAAGATTTTGTCACGATTTAGAACAAGATTTTAGAAGGACCTTAAGAAGCTTGTCAATGTTTTTAGATTAGGATCTTGTCAGAATTACAATAATTTCTAATTGAAAAAGAAACTACTCTCTACATGTTATAGGGTTTTATTAGGTTTCTTAGAAGCATCTTTACACGATTTTCTAAAGTGAATAGAAGAGAAATGAACCAGAAGAGTGTCGATGTTTAGACCTTAAGTTTATAAACTGATCAGCTTACCAGGCTGGATTGTGCCAATTTATCAAGTAAAAGTACTAGCTTCCACATCTTAAACTTCGACTGAATCATTAATTTACAATTGAATTTAATGTGAACACAAAATATCTCAAAAAAAAAATTTTTCAAAAATACAATATCTTGTTAAAATTTGGTTTTAGTTTATAAAAATTTGCTATTTTTTCTAAACTTCAATTCAGTTTAAAAAAATCTATTTCTCATTTTTCCTAAACATAAACCAAACTTTGAAAAAATTTTGCCAAATGATTTGTCACCTACTAAACTTAGTTTTTTGATGAAAAAGAAATTAGTACAATAACTAAACTGGAAATAATACTCTAATTTAATCCTTTCCCGGTGACATGAATATTGCTTTCTCATACTTCTTGAAAAATTTCATTTCTTTATTTGTAGCAAGTCTAGTATTTCAACACAACTTTTATCGACATTTCTCTTATCAATATGAACTAAGAACGTTCCTCTATGCGCGATAAAAACATCAGCCCCTTTGTTCAAAGTATGGCAGAGATACTCAATTTTTTCTGTGTTAAATGAGCTTCTGGTCCACCCTATAGTATGACCCACCGGTAGTTCACATCACCACCAAAAGGTTAATAATTTTACGTACGTGAAGTTATCAGCAGATGCGAGTACTTCTAGTCCGGATTCGTTCAGGAACTTGTTTCCAATCTTTTATTCTTGTTCCAAGTAGAACTCGACGAGTTCTATCAATTGATTTAATCAGATTTCCGATAACTCGAAGTAGTCGCCTAGAAAATCGATTTTTTAACTTTTTTCCATAGAGTCTAGATACCCTAAAAAGTATTTCCAGCCAGGATTAGTTTAGAAACTTGTTCCAAATAGAACTCGTCGAGCTCTATCGAGTAGTATAATCAGATTTTCAATAGCTCGAATTGACCGCTTTAAAAATCAATATCGTCATTTTTTCGCCATGCGATCCAAGTACTCTGAAAAGTAATTTTATCCAAGTTTCGCCTGAGAAATTTGTGTCAAGTAGACCTTGATGAGCTCTATCGATTTGTATAATCAGAGTTTCTATAACTCAAACGGATCGTCAGAAAAATTGATTTTTGGGTGTGGGTGTGGATATGTTTGTTCAAACAAAAGACCAACAGCCACACTCACGCTCACATTCTTCCAGTAGCTCCTCTATCGATCGATGAAAACTGCAGGCCTCTAGCTGACTGCGTTCTTGAGTTATTCAAAAAAGTAGTGAGGCACATTATATTTTGAAATAGACAATAGTAACGAACGAGTTGATTTTGAGACAAAGAGTAGACAAGACAACTCGATATGACTAGAAAAAAGACTAGTCATTTAATCCGTCTTTTGCTCACTTGGGAACAGAAACGACTTGGCTCCTTTTACGAATATTAATTTATTACTGGATGACATGGATCTACTACGATCAAGAAAAATTACTAAATTGAGTGGTGTTCGTTTCATTGTTTCTTCCTTATTTTTGTTTCAATATCGAAATGAACTTTTTTGTATTCAACAATCGGAAAGAGTATTGGGACTATTCGAATAACATTAAATTTTGACAGGAGATATACTAAAATTACAGTTAAGATAAATATAAATAATAACGTTGAAAAATATATTGAAATTATGTTTAAATTAACGATTGATCGTTTGTTTGATATTAAAATAGAAAACAGAAGTGTCTTTAAAAAAGAGAATAGATTCACATTTTATATGTCAAACAAGAACACAATAAAGTTTTACTATATCTATTTTATTCCTCATGTTATTTCATAAGAACCATAAAAATGCATTAATCATCAAGATGCTATTAGGCAACTTTATGGTCTGAAGATACAAAAAGAAGAATAAAAACTATCTTAATACATATTTTGTAGTTGAAGATCAGCATCAATAATGTTAACGTATGCCGTTAAAACGATAACTAGTGATGGTATTATTTCGAATTGCTAATTTATTTTTAATGTGAAAAAATGAGTAGAATAATTAAATATGTTACATTTGATTATTTTCTAGACTCAAATAAATTAAAATGTAGTTTCTCTTTAAGTAGAACAAATCTTCTATATTATTAATCGAAGAAACTATTTACACACACTTTAAAGTTTTCCTTTGATTGTTCTGATGTTTTAAGTCTTTGTTTGCCTTTTCCAGATAAACTGCAATTATATACTTGAATTTTGTTCAATGATGTATTATTTTTGATCATCTGAAGAAGAGAATCAATACTTTCATCAGTCAATAGTTTGTTCGAAGAAAGATCCAAATATTTGATAGTTGTGTTATAATTTTCAATTGCATCCGACAATATTTGAACTCCATGATCGTTTATTTCATTCTCTCCAAGATAAAGATGGGTCAATATATTATTTGCTTTAATCATTTCAGCAAGATATTTCGCACCTCTTTCTGTAATTCCATTTTTTGTAAGATTAAGTCGTTTGAGAATATTATTATTGAGTGAAAGTATCTTAACAAGAGAAGAAACACCATCATCACAAACTTGATTATCGGATAGATACAATCGTTCTAATGTTTTGTTATTATTCAATGCCTCAGCTAAAATCGAAACACAGACTGATGTGATTTTATTTGATGATAAATAGAGCCATGTACATTGTTTATTGATAATAGCTTCTTTAATAACCATGTCCATATCTTGATCAATTAATTTTTGTCCTTTCAAATACACTTGTGAATTACTTTTTTGTTGTTGAATTTTTTGTTCAAGTTTTGGATTTTGATATTGATTTACGTCTAAACCACAAAAAGAAATATATTGATGAAAAAAAAAATTACTAATCATTATTTAATATGGTTAAAAAGAGAAAATTTTTCTTTTGTTTTTTGTCATCTTTTAATATTTAACTAGTTTTCGATGAGATATCATTACATTCACTTACCTAATACATATTTTCCTCGTTTTGTTAAATACTTAATACCCATTTCTGGCTGATCTTCATGTTCATCGGATGGAATTCTTGCTTTTTTCTGACTCTGATCATCAACTTCAGGCTCATCATCTGTCGATTGGCCACTCAATTGTGTAAAACATGAACTGTAACGATCGTTAGTATTGTTTATCTCTGTAATGTTAGATGGATATTCTTGTTCATTCTCATCATTAACTTTGCTCGCTTGAATTTGAATGTGATCTAAATAATCGTTGAATTGTTCGATAAACGCATCTAAACGATTATTAGTGTTTTCAAGTTCTTTAATTTGCAACTGATCAGTTTGTTGACACTGTTGTTCGATCTGTTGTACTTGTTCTTTCAGAGATCGATTGTCTGTTGAGAGTTCAATGTATTGTCTCATCTGTTCATCAATTTGTACTTCAAGTTTTTGATTTTTACTTTGTAATTCTTGAATCTGTTTTTCATGATTGTTCAGTTGTTCACTCTGATGATAAAGTGTGTCTTTTAGTTCTTTCATATAAGCTTCATGTTGAGTTTGACTTTGTATTTTGAGTTGTGTATTTTCATCTTCCAAACCTTTTATTTGGATGTCGTAATTGTTTAATTGATCGTTCAGTTGTGTGATCTTATGATTAAGTGCTTCAAAGTGAGTTTGATGGTCTTGTTGATATTGCTGTTCGAATTTTTTGATTTGTTCTTTAAAAATTCGATTCTCATTTTGGAGTTCATTATATTGTATACATTGTGCATCAACTTGTTGTTTAAGTTGTTCATTCTGAATCTTGTATATAATCAATCGATCATCATATTGATTAACTTCTTTGACTTGTTGTTGACACTCATCTTCGATTCTTTTTATTTGTATCATAACGCTATTTAATTGATTTGTCAATTGTGTGACACATGTATCCAAATGATGATTAGTGCTTTCAAGTTCTTTAATATGATTTTGATACTGTTGTTCGATTTGATCTATTTTCTCTTTAAGAAATCGATTGTCTCTTTGAAGTTCATTACATTTTATTATTTGCTCGTTGACTTGTTTGTTCAGACATTGATTTTCAGTGCGTATTTCATCTATTTGAATTTGATCTTTATTTAGACGATTGCTATATTGATCAACAAATGTATTAAGATGTTTGTTAATATCTTGAAGATCATTAATATAAGTGTCATGTTCTTGATGAATCTCTTTTTCTAATTGATTTGTTTTTTCGTTCAATTGTTGATTTTTATTAAAAACTTCCGCAAAAATAGATCGCAACGGTTCAAAAGCAAGTATTGTTGGTGACTGTTGATACAATTGATCTTGTTGTTCATTTTGTGAAGATTTGTTATTTGATAATAAATTATGTGTATTCACTTTAAAATGTTCTTTGTTAATGTTATTGCAAATATCATCGATGTTCTTGTGTACAATCGGATCAACATCTGTCACATCGTTAATAGAAACAGATTGTCGACATATTGGACACAATGTATTATTCTTTTCAAACCATTGTATAATACATGTTTTGCAAAAGATGTGTCGACAGGGAAAACATTGTGGTTCATTAAAAGATCTATTACATATATTGCATATTGATTCGTGATCAATGTTACTTGACATTTGACAATTTAAAATATTATCTAAAGATATAGTGAGAGAGAGAGAGAGTAAAAGCTGATAAGAAGTTTATATAGATTTTGGTTTGGCGATAAAAATTAAACTAGAAAAGATTCTCGTTTAATTTACTCTGTCTAAATATAACTGTATCAAATCAATCTATGTATTTTTATCGATCCACGAGATTAAAATCGAAATACGTATCTTTTCCACTTGAATGATTTTGTTTGTATATATTATTATCCTTCAATCTGATAGACACGTCATCTGTAAATACACATTTTATAATATCAAAGAAAAAGATAAAATACATTTACATGATACTCTTCTCACCTTTATTCTTTTTCTCTCGTTTTATATGTTTGATGATGAGTTACACGTTCGAAAAATGAGTCAAGAAAAACTAATTACTAAATAAATGAATAAAGGCGTTTTTTTTTAATAGAAAAAAGCACGATTGAAAGTTGAGTTATTTGTCGTTCTAAAATAACTAATTAAGTATGGAAACATCATTTTCTAATTCAAATAGTAACGTAAAAATCAATTAATTGCTGAAGTTTATGATTTAGTTCGTGTAATATCTCTTCGAAAAGATTCATTTTTTTAAAAGAAAAACAAGAATCAAAAACAAAATACATATATATTGATACAGAAATTCCAACAAAAATCTAGATGGAATCTTTGATGTTTCAACATCAGATATTTGATAGATATAATCAGAATCTTGTAAGGATTCGCTTTTGTTTTCTGAGGAAACGACTAAATCCTGAAAGAAGTATGTAGCCACAGATTTTTAGGATCTTGTCAGAATTTCAATAATTCAAAATTGGTAAAGAAAATTTCTGATCACATCTTTCAAGATTTAATTAGACTTCTTCTAAGATATAATCAAACTTCTTAGCAAGATTTTCACAATAGAACAGAAGAGAAATGAACACATAGAGTATCGATCTGCTTACCCAGCTGGATGTGCCATGTCATTCTATATCTCATTTCAACGTCCAATATCTTAATTTCTGACTTTAATGTAAACTTCTATTTGAATTCTATATGTGAATACAAATTGTTTCAAAAAATTCTGAAAATACTATTTCATTTTACATATTTATTTTAGTCGGTGAAATTTTACTATTTTTTTTTGAATTTCAATTCGATTTAAAAAATATATTTTGAATTGTTTTTCTTTCGAACATAATCAAAACTATAAGCAGTTTTTATCGAAAGATTTGCTGCTGACTAAAATTATCTATTGAACGAAAAAAAAATTTTACGATAGCTAAATTCCAATGAACATCCTAATTTAATGATTTTCAATTTTCTTTTCCTGATAAGATTCAAAAAAAAAGAACTCATTGATGTAGTACGAATTTCAAAACAACTTTTATATAAAATTCAAAGAGATTTTCAGAAAATTTCTAAGGTTTTCAAGATTCGTTCTATCTCGACATATTGCTATTGAAATTTTGTTGCGATCCTGAAAAGATCTTAACTGGCTCCTTGTATCTTCTTATTAAGATCCTAATTATACTTGTACTTTTCACTCAAATCTAATGAAACTTGACGGAATTCTTTTTATAAGTTTTGTCAGATTTCTAGACAGGATTAACAGTGAACCTTAGTAGGGCCCTACAAACTCAATTCAGAAAAAAATCTGAACAAGAACTTGAACAATTCGTGGATAAAATTCTGCAATAAACTTGACAGGATTCGTGAGATTTATGATTCTGAAAGATCCTTCGAAGCTTTCTTAAGGAGTGAACAGAATTGAGGCTAGGGTCGATGGCCGGAGAGAGAGTAAATGAGAAAGTTGGACTTAGCATGGGCGAAAATAAGTGAGAGAGGGTCAGAAAGAGCGAGAGTATGATGGTGAGTCAGTGAAGGTAAAGGTGCATGAGGATTTGAGGGCAGGCGATTAAGGGTAATGATGTGTGACGTTGTTATTCAGGCCCTTCAAAAATTTATTCTCATCCATCTTCAGGCCAGTGCTCTCAACCGTCGAACATCATTCTCACCATCAATCAGGTAGTTATTCTGATTTAAAATCTTTAGGATAGCACTTGAGGACCTGTGAATACCTGTATAGGATAGCCCTTGATTGTTTATTATGATTCTCTCTATCTTTGATAATTGATCTCTGTCCTTTCGACTTTTGATGTTTCATCATTAACCTTTAACCCTGAAACAAACACTGACAGAAACTTATTTTATTTTGTATGACCCTTTCTTTAGCCGAAGGGATATGGGTGGAGCATGGAGAGTGTGGGTGTGAGTGTAGATCTCTATGTAAATAAGAGATTCACACTCACATTCACACTCACCCGTACCCACATGCACAACCCACAGCCACATGCCACCCACACTCTGAATGAGTAATAATTGTTCTAGATAATCATAGTGATAGGACAAGTTTATCAGTAACTTGAAAGTTTGTAACTGCAACAAAAATGGATCTCAATTCATTATGCATGCATCGTAGTTACATGGCAACTATTTCTGCACAATATTTTCTAACGACATAAACGAAAAGGATGTTCACGGATACAAATAATTACAAAAAATTTGGCGATCTTAAGCTCAATCATATTCACTTTGATAATCTCTATTTTGATGATATCGTTTTATCCTGATTGCAATCATTTACTTTAAATATATAAATAAAAATCGATCTAGTTTTATTTTATGATTATGCTTCATTGTTGATCCTGATATATATGATCAAGGTATGTATTATAAAAAAAAAAACAAAGAAAAAATTGTCGACAAAAGAGACAAATCGAAATTAAAAAGAAGTTGAAGAATAAATGTTCAAAGATAAAATATCAAAACAATAGATATTAACAGTGTATCAAAAAGATAAAATTTTTTTTTTCAACAAGGAGGATGTGAATGCGAGGGATTTCACTGAATCAAGATGTTAAGGAATAAACGTCTAAAAATCTATTTCAATAGCAAAAATCAAGTGAAACATATAGAAGAGCATTAAGATAATGCCACGATAATATTCTTTGTTCGAATATATTTTCTATCTTTTCGCTGCTCTAAGATCTTCATTTATACAATGATGTATTAGAGAAAAGTATTAACTAATCAATGGAACTTTAATAGGCAATTTATGAAAAAAGAAAATCAACATTGCTTAATGACGTGTTGAAATTTTCCACATTTTTTCGTTGGACCAAAACTGCTTCGACATTTCTTTTGCAACATTTATTTTTTTGCTTCGGCCTTTAATACATCTCATCGATCAAGGTGTTATATATTATCATTCAAAGATGCAAGCATAAAAAAAAAGAATTATCTTTTCATCTTCTATGGTTTTATTCACTTATAAAATTGCAAGCATTTTTTTCTCCTGAGTTTTTTATTTCGTCAGAACGATCATGACAGAAGGAAGGTTTGTAAATATTTTATGTTTTTTATAATTGACGTTTTGTTACAGCGATTGTAAATAGATATTGTCACTGGATCCTTCGCTTTTTTTCTTTATAGTTCTATTTTGATTAAATTACCATAAAAATGTTCTTAATCAAGATGTTTTCTTTTTTTATGACAAAACTAGTGCAATTATGATTGTTCGTAGTGCAGACATTAGCATCTCTGTATTCCATGTTTATAAATACACACATAAGTACTTACAAAAACAAAATATCATTACATATTTTCCGACAAAGACAACAAAGAAAACTATATAAAAAAACTATCAACTGCGAAGTTTTTATATATATCCATCGAGTTTTCTATTGAAAATTATCATCCGAATATGTAACTATTCTATTTTCATCAATTGAAAATTTCTGACAGAAGAACTCATTATTCATATGATTTAATATAAATTGTTCTTTTATTTGTTGTGTAAATAAAATATAGGCAAATAATATTTGTATTAGCTGGTTTTCTGGGTATATTTCTTATGTTAACTATTGTGTTTGCCGCTTTATATGGAGTTCAAAGGAATAAAAGTTGGAATACCGTAGACATAACAACAGCCATAATTACAGTCACAACCACGGGTATGAAATATTATTAGCTATCTATATGATCTATCAATTGTTTCTAGCTCAGACGAATTTATGTGTAACCCCATATTGTATTAAAGCGGGTTAGTTCTATTTCAATGAATTATTTTTCATTCTTTTATTTCTGAAATTTCATAGCAAATTATTTACTTGAAAGTATTAATAAAACTGTTAATCCATGTGATAATTTCTTTGAATTTGCTTGTGGAACATGGTTAAAGAAGAATCGAATACCTGATGATGGTAAATTGATAATTATATTTTCATGTTTTTCCGTATGTAGATATGAAATTCTGTTTGTTTTAGCTGCATCTCATGATATTATTAACATTCTAAGAAATCAATTAGATAGTGATATCGTTGGTAAATATATATAACAGACTAATTTTAAACATTCAATTAGTTTGATGATGAAATCAAGGATGTAACAAGCCATCTCTTCTTGAGAATTCTCCGTCTAACACCCATTCTTGGATTCAACCACCTTGTATAGCCGTGAGTTATGTCACTGGATGAGATTTATATCAATGATAATAGCATATGGGTGATTGTAATTAATCGAATTTTATCTTTCATTAGTTAGGAATAATAATTGCATGCTTGTCATTCACGAATGCTTTTTTTTTCTAATATATTCCAAGAAATTTTAATAAGATTATTCAATAAACACAATAGTGAAGTAGAGTCCTATTCGCGAATCCAATACATTAGTATGTCCTGGTAGCAGTTTATCAAGTAGCGACTGAAGTGTAAAAAATTGTTCAATTTCTTCGGCTTCATTTTTTTGCTAATATAATCTACTGCTGTTATTTATCATACAGGTGATTTCAACAGGTTTGAAACAAATCATAATTTATTATTCTCTGTACAGTATGCAATAACCTATTGCAGCTTTAGAATAATAATACAACTAAATAATAAAAATGTATCGTATTCTTTAATTAACGTTTTCAAAAATGTGGTCCGATAACATTCGATGAAAGGGCAATAGAATTATCGTTGATCCTTTTTTGCATTTTTGGTAGACATGTTCCCATGTTTAAAAAAAATCAGAAAATCTGATTTTCATCGGTTTTTTTGTGATTAAAAACTGATTATAATGATGATACTATTTTAATCACATTTCTAATCAAAATGATGATTAAAATCAATTGAATATCTAAATAATCGATTTTCAACATGGTGACCATAAAACGCGTTTTTTTTCGAGTTCTTGATTGAAAATTCAGCTTTTTGATCGTTTTCTCGAACTCTTCTCTTCGACAAATAGTAAGTATGCTGCAAGATCAACTTTTAATGTATATACTATGTTTCGAGATTCAATATAATATGATATTTATTCAATGATTGAAAAGAAACGATTATATTATTTAGTATTACATGTGAAAATATCTCTGTCGATAAGAGGTAAAAGTCGACAGTCATACTATCTTTAAGGTCGAAACCCTAGTATCACTTTTTAGTTTTAAGTAATGTCTACAACTTATGTCTCAACAAAAAAAAATTATATGAAAAACTACAGCATAATGTTTTACTGGTACAATTCAAAAGGAATAATGATAATTTGATGGGTGTGGATGTTGAGTGAAGAGAATAATCTAAATTATACCTTCCTACGCACACTGTTCACTTCTAACAATATTTATTCCTAGTGACTACCATCGACTTGACTATCAATTCATTTGAATTCGAAAAGAACATCTTTTTTATTATATGTAAAAACGAATGAATTTTCATTCGATGCAAGATGATCTTTAAGTTAATGCAAAAATATCTATATCTCTGTGTATTGTCAAACGATAAATATAAGAATCTGTCGAAAAGTAATACGCCTGTAATGCTTTCTGAAATGCATTTTTGATATCAATTTGATGATTTATTCAGTTTAGTTTGTTAGTAGTCATAACTCTGATAAAAAAAGCACAGAAAATATTTGAATAGTTGGAAGAATTTCCTATTAGAAGAAGTACTTGTCGAATTCCTATTAACAGGTTTAGATGAAAGATCTCTTAAAAATCAAGAATTATAAAACTAGCTTTCTAAATTTTATTAAACACGCTTTGAAAATGACTTCAGATATTAGAGAAAAGATTTCTGAACGAAGTAAGGTGTCCATCATATATCTTTGATAAATGGACTGTACAATAGACTTAAAAGGTTGATTTCTTTCAATTTATTATGTTTTATACTTAAGGCTCTTTTGTGAAATGAGTGTAGTTTCCTGAAGAGAGATCATAGAGAGCTTAGTGACATTTTACTTTGTTCAAAAAAAATGTTTTCTCTATTATGTGAACTTGTTTGCAAAACGTTTTTTGATATCATCCAGAAAATTAGTTTTTTGGAAGTCTTGATTTTCGAGATCTTCCATAACAAACTATCTTGATAGAAAATTATTTCAATACTCAAATCTTTTCTTTGATTTGTATGCGTTTCTAAAATTGTTACTTCTTCTTTGAGAATAAATCGATTGGATCAATTCTAGTACTAAATCACACCTTCCAATATATGTGTTTAGATATGTTAACCTCGCCAATACCCGATGACTTAAAAAATCTTCAGTCTATAATTAATGCTCGTCGTTTTTATGATTCATGTATAAATGAAACAGCTATCGAATTAGAGGCTGTCCATGTAATACTGTCTTTCGTCAATAATGAACTTGGTGGATGGCCGATTTTACAAGGTTCATCATGGAATGAAGATTCATTTAATCTTACACATTTACTAATTAAATTACGTGAATATAGTCACAATATGATATTTGGTTTTCGTACATCAGCTGATGATAAAAATTCTTCAGTTAACTTTATTCGAGTGAATAACTAAAATAATAAAAATTCAATGTGTATATTTCTTTTTCTTTTGCATAGGTTTATCAAAGTGCTATTCCTCTTGAACAACGATCAAATTATATTAATGAAACAAAAATTACCAAAGCTTATCAACAATTTATTCATGATGTAGCTTCGGCACTAACAAATAATATAGTAATTAATGTCAGTGAAGTTAACGATATTTATAATTTTGAAAAACGTATTTCAACAGTAAATAAAAATATTTGTTTTTTTTTTCTTTTACAAATTAAATAAATACAAAATCTTTAGTTTCATTGGACACCTGCCGAAAAACATGCTAGAAAAAATGAAACAGTTCGTACAACAATTGGAAATCTTTCACAAACATTTAATACAAGTGTAAGTATTCATTTTTATTTATCAAAAATATTTTTTCACTGTTTTTTTTTGAATTTAGTTTGATTTTACAAATTATCTTCGATATATATATTTTTTATCAAATGTTTCTTTAAATGATAATGATATTGTATCAGTTAGTGAAATTGAATTTTTACGTAATATATCATCGATTATTGATACAACTTCACCACGTATACTACAAAATTATATTGTATGGTGCTTTATAATGAATAGAGTATCAAATATGCCTAAACGTTATCGTGCTCTAAGAGATCCATTTGATGAAGCTTTTCAGGGTACTATTGCTCAACGTCCACGTTCAATAACATGTGGGAATTATATTAATAATAATATGGGTTTTGCCCTTTCAAAAATTTATATTAAACAATATTTTGATGAAAATGCAAGAAACCAGGTATTGTATTTAATTCTTTAAGAATAATTACTTTTTATTCCAGTTATCAGACGTATGAAATTCAAAATATAGCAATAGGTTGGATGAGTTTGTTTTATTTGCGAACAGATTAATTGATGATTTAATATTTATTTATTTTATTTTTTTGTAATATTGTACGAAGGACAAAGTAAAGTAGAATCAGCGATTTTGTCGTTTCCATTCCGAACGATTATGGTAAAAATGAACGCTCCTATCTTTCGGTTACTTTGGTATAGTGCACTACCTCTAGTGGCATATTCATCAGCCTGACTCACTGTTAGCGTATTCTTTATTATTTAATGTATATAGTTAGTCAAAATAAGTATAATACAAAATTCACATTTCGATGTACGTACGCTGATAATGAAATTTCTTCAACTAACATTAGCTATGTCAGTTTATATTAGATTTAAAAGACAGTCTTGATAAGACTAGCGAAAGCCTAAGAATGTTCATTCCTATGAGCTTTGGACACTGAGCGGAACTTTTGACTCATTTGTAGTTATCTTCCGCAAAAATAAATTCAAGAAGTTTCGATCTAAAGTTTTCTCTATATAGATAAATCCAATTACTACTAGAGTTTTAATTGAGAAGAATTCACCTTCGTCAAGATTTTGAATTTTCAAACATAGGCTATTGTGTCAAGATATAAAACAAAAGTTGAGCTTACTTAGAAATTTAATAACAAGATAATCGAATATTCTTTCTCGATGAAACTTTTATGATATCTGCTTAGAGTCAGTCAAAAATCGTGCAAAACGATCTTAACTCAGCGCTGAAGGTTTACGGGGATGAATCCTTTTAGACCTTCGTTATTCTCATCGATACCTACTTGTTGTTTACGTATGAACTCGAATAGTGGATATCATTTAATGTTCTAACTTCTTATATTTTAATAATTTTATTCGTTTGTTTAAGGAGAAATAATATTCATGACTTTTCAATAGAAAAATTACAATAAAATTGAATTATTTTTGAAATTAAAGCAAATAATTTCGAGAAAATAAAATAAATTTAATTGTTTGTCGATTTTTTATTTTAGTCATTAGAGATGATCAATAATATTCGAAGTATATTTCTTGATATGCTCAAAAATACGACTTGGATGGATGAAATTTCAAAAAATAAATCAATAGAAAAAGTAGATTGAAAAATAAAATTTTTCCAAACTTTAATTATATTTTTTTTAAAGGCATTAGTAATCGATGAAAAAATTGGTTATCCAGATTTTTTAGGCAGTAGTAATACAACAGAACTCGAAAAAATGTATCAAGATGTAAGAAATAATTATAGTTTCTATTATATACTATTTATTCTTCATGTTTTTTTAGTATATTTTCAACGATTCATATATATATAATGTTTTTAAATTATTACAAATAAAATCCAATGAAAATTTTCGAATGCTTCGTGAATCTGTTGATCGTAAAGCATGGGGTGCTGGTCCACCGACCGTAGTCAACGCTTTTTATAATCCATCAAGAAATCAAATCAGTAAATAGAGTCCTTTCTTTTTTTGTTTTTACAATTATTTTAATTTGAATATTCACAATAGAGAATCAAACAAATCGATTTTTTTCTAGGTCTAGTTGATTAATGACAAGCTATGAATCTTCTATCTGAACTGTATAGTTTTTCAAATGAAAACAGAATATTCCACTAACCCTTTGAGTTCGGGCGACGACCATGTTCGTCCTGGGATTTTGCGTGCTGAATACGTTTAAAAAACATGGTGTTTTAGTTATTTAATGATATAGGATTGTCTATACGAACGATCCCTATTGGCTGTTCCGTAATTCTTCGAGTTCGGGATTATTTTTATACAGTAAAAAGGACGAGGAACAGTTGGTAGGGAAACCGTCACTATAAAAGTTTTTTATTCGAGACCCCAACTATATTAACTAAATTAGAGAGCTTAGTGAACTATGCACTTTTTATGATGGAATTTGGTCTTTTAAATAAAACAATGAAGAGTTCTAGGTAAATTGATTTGTAAAATTTTAGTCATTTTCAGTCTTTGTCACGCTCAGAACTCTACATTATTTCATTTAAAAGACCAAGTTCCATCATAAAAAGTACTTAATTCACCGAGCTCCTTAGTTTAGTTAATATAGTTAGAGTCTCGAATCAAAAAAGTTTAATAGTACTGATTTCCCTATCAACCGTCTCTCGTCCTTTTTACTATATAAAAATAATCCCGGACTCAAAGGGTTAATAAGAATCCATAAAAGTCATGCAAAACTGGCATGAGATAGTCAGATAAAACTTTTCTTTAATTTACATGTATTGGACGAATTAGTCCAAGAAGATATATCAAGCTTAGATAGTAGACGGTAATATAACTGTAATTCAAAATATTATAAGAACTCGGCAATTATATATATAGTATAATAAAATAATCTAGATATCAGATGTTATTAAATAGTATTCAGGACACTTACCTACTAATGGGAATGTGTAGGATTATTCTACATTACAGAATAAAGTAAGAATTATGAAATTTGTCTTGATCAGCATGCAAAAAACAATCTTTCCCTGCATATCTCTGTTCACTAAGATATTTGCTCACGAATAATATGTTTGTGTAGGTCTTCTCTTCGTTCACATCTATATCTTAATAGTCCCTATCATGCATACTTTTTAGATTATTCATATTTTCAAAGAATTTTTGTGTCACTTTTTGGGACAATCGTATATGAATGAATACCAGTTATACATATATATAAATAAAGGTCATTCTAGAAAGTTTTTGTTACAGTAACTGACACTATTGATGGTTATGAAGTCTTTCTATTAGTTTGTATAGTTCTTATGTATATCCAGGTGAATGATTTCGATGGCCAGAAAAACAACATTTCTGGTCTAGAAACTCGAAAGTCAGATTTTCGTGATTGGATCCAATGGTCGAGTTTTTCTAGTTCCGAACACAGCTCGACATCAGATTCCTACCATTTTCTTGCCGGAAATATCGATTTTGTCACTTTTGAATACCAAATATACTTTGTTGATCATTGCGTCATGAGTGGTTTTTTTTGCTAAAGATTTTTCATGAAAATTTAAAAATTCATTGTAAAACTGAGTAGTCTATTTCAGCCTATTATTCCTAAATTTATATCGATTGTGGTCATACTATAATTTTTCTCTATTTTTAGTTTTTCCAGCTGGCATTTTTCAAATACCATTTTTCAATAAAGATGCACCGAAGTAAAATTTTTTTTTTCATATCTCTTTCGACAAAGAAAACTAGAATTCCTTATTATTTTTAGATATTTAAATTATGGTGGTAAGTTTCAATTAAATAAATAAATGTTGTAGAATATCAAATAAAATTCGAGCTATCGGAATGGTTATCGGTCATGAAATTACTCATGGTTTTGATAATAGTGGTCGTCAATATGATAAAGACGGGAATCGTATTTCTTGGTGGACTCCTGAAACTATCGAAAGATTTAATGTACGTAAACAGTGTATAATCGATCAATACAGTAGATATGTTGTAACTCAAATCAACATGACAGTAATGATTTAAAAGAGTTTTTTTCATGTATTTGATGTTTTGTTTTTTTTTATTAAATTTTAGTTGAATGGATTTCAAACACAAGGCGAAAATATTGCTGATAATGGTGGATTAAAAGAATCGTTTTATGTAAGTTTTATCTTGGATTTAGGAAAAAAAATGAAGGAAAAAACAAGAAAATTAGTCTAGTCTTGAGACAAATTATTTGCCAATTAGATATATGAAAAATTATCATTAACAAAAAAATAATAAAAATATATCTGGTTTAACAGACTATTTAAATGAACAACTTTTTTTTTATATGAAATACTCGACTTCGTTATTATTGGCAATATAATGGTTATCTAGGCTGTATTACACAATTGATTGAAAAACACTCATTTGATCATGTGATTGATGATTTTCGATAGAAAAAAATTTTCTTTTTAGATAGCTTTTATTTGCATGTTGTGTGTTCCTTTGTTTGTTATTTTATGTATCCTTGTTGCATGTGTACATATGTATATATGTATATATGTATATGTTTATAGGCTTATCAAAACTGGGCTCGAACGCATCCAAATATGGATAAAAAATTACCTGGTTTATCTGATTATTCGGCAGAACAAATGTTTTTTATTAATTATGCACAGATTTGGTGTTCGAAAATGACTGATGCAAATGCATTGAATAGAATTTTAATAGGTGTTCATTCACCAGGGGAATTCAGGTATATTCTTTTTAGGATGGATAATTACAGTAGTGTACTTTGCATTAACAGTTTCGATTAATTCAACAGAATAGAAAAGTACAAGAATATTCTATGATCAGTGAATATTATTTATCGTTATTAAAACGAAGTTAGTTATTTGAATTTCATCTAAATCGGGTACAAAAAGATTTAGACACGAAGTGCTTTTTATGGTTTTCTTTAACAGTAATAGCTAGAACAAATCGCAAACAATGTTTGAGTAACTGACGCAATTTCGTATTGAAAATAGTACTTCCCAGGTTCGATTAACAGGTTTGAATAAAACATCGCTTGACAATCAAGACTCTTGAAATCAATTTCCCGAATGTGATCATTGAGACAATCTCGATGATGGCTCTTTATCAAACTCAAAATTATGATTTTCTTTCAAATAATAAATCTAATGAAAAACAAAACCAATGTTATATAACCTTGTTCTAGTGTAGTATATGAATGTCTATCTCAGTCGCTTTCTGCATGTTCTTATTATTAGTTTTTTTTTATTTGGTCTAAAATAAAAATATTCTTCTCTTAATTTTGTAGAATACGCGGCCCAACATCAAACTTTGATGAATTCGATCGAGTATTTAAATGTACACCTGGACAAGGTAATAGTCAAGTAAACAAATGTACTGTTTGGTAATTGACAATAATAACATAGAAAAAAAATATATACAAAATCTATTCGTATCTAATATCTGACTTCTACATGAAAACACAACAAAAATTTTCATTTATAAAAAAAAATTTTTTTGTTCTACTTATTTTTTTTCTATTGCTTTGGCTATGAAGGTGTAATAAGAGTGACTGTGGGTGTGGGTGTATATCAGTTGATTTTATACTTGGATAAATTAGGAAAGTAATTGTACAGCAAAGTCAGTCAAAGATTGCATTATTTTTATATAATATTTTCATCGTGACTTTTTTAAAAGTCTCTTTATATTGTGTACTATAATGATATCATCAGTGTTGTTAGTTTCATTGACTCTGCTCCCCTCAAATAGCAATTAATAATGGAAAAACAAAGGGCTTGATGTTCGAAATTGGATATTATCAATGAAACTGACTATCGATCTTTTGAATTTTTTTTTCATTGGGTTTGCTGATTGAAACAAATGTTATTTTATATTATAGCAAAGTTCTGTCAACTGATATTCTTCTGAAATCACTTAGTATATTATCATCTCAATAGATTTCTCGTTGGTCCAACACAAAAATTGAGGTCCATCTTATTGACGAAATTAATTCATGTATTTTCTCAAAATAAATATTAAATAGTTTTTGTATTGATTTCTCAAAAACTAAATTGATTTTCGAATAACAATACTTATTAACAAAATTTAAATCTTAAATTACATAGATAAAATTGAAATATATATTGTATTTATTTCTTTAAGTCAGATTAGATGTATTATGAGCATAACGTGTCTTTTCCAATAAAACTCTTTTCAAAGATCTTCTATAATGATGATTAATCTATGATCGTCAATTTACAAGATGAACTCACCCTCAAAGTGAAATATACAGCTTTGCTAGTGTTTTATAACTGTCGTACAGTGAGTATATGATACGAAATATTGAGAATTTTCTTTATTCTTATAATGAAACATTTCCTTTTTTTAAAATATTGACTAGAAAACTACAGTTAAATGGATAAGAAAAATGTCTGTTTTCAAAGATAACTTTTCTTTTTCTATGTAAATTGTGACTTTTTTTTAATGGTTTTAAATTGAACAGATAATTGTGACAAATATAAATCTGAGAAATTATTGAAAACAATATATGCTTGTATGTTCACA